ATAGTCTATCATTAGATTGAATGAGATAGAAATCCCAAAGCAGGGCCTATTTGTAGTCCATTGCTCTGCAACCTCATCCTCTCCCTGGACTTCAGAGCTGGCCCTTCCCCTCTGTGGTGGCCCATTCCTGACACCTCACAGTGGCCTGTTACCACTGCAGCCTGCACCCACCACTGTCCTCACATCAGTGGCTCTCAACCTTCAAAAAACCCTCTCATCTTCCTCCTGCTTCTGGGCCCTCATCATGCCCCGTTAGGACACCAGTGGAGAGTGGTGTGTTGAGGTTAATTGTATTTTCCAGCATTCTGTAACTGAACTGCTGAAATATCCCATTGCCAGAGTCCTTGTCTCCTTGACTGAAACCACTTCTGCGTTAAGCTCTGTCAGTCGCCATCCCATTGTAGGCTCCTCTCAGAGGTTTGATGGGTTGATGTCACTTCACTGAGCAATCATCTTCAGGGTTCAGTTCAGTTTTCTGCATGTGGGAGACAAAAACCACAAGGACCATTACTCAAGGCCAAGTTAGATCACCAGCTCACACATCCTCAAGGCTTTAAGCCACTAGGGAAAGACCTATGATTTCTATGTTAGGAAAAGGCCTTTAGCCTGATTCAGGAATGAGATCTCCCTATCCTGTTCTTACCCACAACCCCAAGGGGGAGAAAAAATTCTAATTGCATGGCATAGATTTATATTTTGATAAGTGAATTTCAGTAGAAGTGAAGACTGTGCATTGGTGTGGAGGGCTTTTGAACAAACATGAAAAAGAAAAATTTAGAGTCACCTCTGGGATCATGGATGTCAATGTTCTTCACACCCACCAGGGGTCTCATTCACACCCCTGGTTTCAGTAGGCACCTCTCAGCAAAAGATTCCTAGTCTGCATCTCCACCCTGACCTCTCTCCTAAGTCCCAAAGAGCATTTTCAGTGAGCATTTCTACCTGGATGATATACTCACAACAAACTCAAAATGTTGAAAACTAAACTCATTATCTTTTCTCAAAGCCTGCCCCTCTCCAGGTGGTCCCTACCTTAGGGAATGTTGCCAGCATAAAAACAGTCACTCCAGCCAGAATACTGGGAGGACTTCTTAACCATTATCCTCTCAGCCATTCATTCAGCCACATCCTGAAGGTGCTGTTGTCGTATCTTCTCTTGAGTCTGTTCACCTCTCCCATTGCCATCAACACTGTCCATCAATTTGTGTGCTGCCTAGAGTCCTTGATTGGTCTCTAACTTATCTTCTTGCCTTCACTCTGGCCCCCTTCAATCCATTAGACCCCATCACCCATAGTGATTCTTCTGAAACAGAAATAAAATCATGTTGCTCTTTTTTGTAAAAACTCTCAATAGCATTCCGTTGGCCTTGGGTTAAAGCTTAAACCCTGTAAGCTATTACACAGGACTTTCACAGTGCAACTTCTACCTACCTCTTTATATCATCTCTTGCCACTCTCCCCTTTGAATGCTACATTCCTGCCATGTTTAACACCTCTTCTCCTCACATATTTCCAGGTCTTAACAAATGTGGCTACTTTCTCCCCCTTCTCCATCTTCTTCCTGTTATTGAAATATAAAATGCATGCAGCAAAGTGCACATATATATGTACAACTCTGAACTGTCTCAAATGAGCACACCTATGTAACATGAAGAACCCAAAGAGGACCAGTCTTCCAGAAGCTCCTTCATGCCCCTTTTCACTACCTGATGGAGAAATCACTATCCTGATTTCTAATAGCACAGACTAGTTCTTTCCACTTTTGCAATTTATAGAAACGAAAACCTACAGAATTGTATCAGACATCTCCTGCTATTTAACAAGATGCCAATAAGCTTAATGGCCTAAAATAACTTTAAAGTCCTATCTTCAGCTTCATCACTCCTTGCAGCTATGCTTTTTTCATCTGCTTCTTTAAAATTGCTTCCATTTAGTGTCTACCTGTGCTTTCTGCCCATTCGCTCCTTAATCCACCACATTCATCCATAGCATCCCTCATCAGAGGACATCAGTCGCCTCCTTATTGTTGAGCCAAATGAACATTTTCAGTCTTTTCCTACATGATACCCACTGCCACCCACTCCCTAAATCAGTGAGTGAGAGGTTCTTTATCACCTGGAATGCCTTTTACCCCCATTTTCCCTTGCAAATCTGCTCATTGTTTATGTCACATCTCTAATGCCACCTCCTCTATAAAACTGTGCCATTAACAGCTCCTCTTCTGATCCTGTTTGCTACTTTTAATATTAATGCCAGTAAATATTATTATAATGTACTTGGCTCACTTCCCCTAGAACATGAGCTTCTAAGGGCAAGATCCCAGAACTGTGCCTAGCACATAGTAGGCAGTCAATAAACACTTGTTAATTGAATGAATAGTTAACATTTATTGAGCACTTAATATGCAGGACACTTTAATGCATTATCTCATTCCTTCCTCATTTCTATGAGGAAGGAACTGTATCCTAATTTTGCATGAGAGGAAACTGAAGCTTAATGAGATTAAGTAGCTTGCCCAAGGTCGCACAATTGATACATGACAAAGCTAGGATTTGAGGCTCGATTTGTTCAAGCCCTAAATAGCCTCATCCTACCACCTTTGAGCTTTGTCTACAGTGGTGGTTTGCGTAAAACTTGACTGCAGGTTAACAGCAGATTTTCAGCAAATGGACTACCAAAATCTCCAAGCAGCCAGCATATTACCTCACATATGTTTGTGTTCACTAAATGTTTATTGAATTAAAAAATGGGTGTGCTGCTTTGGCTGGTGTGGATCAGTTGCTTGGAGCATTGTCCCTACACCAAAAGGTTGAGAGTTTGATTCCCCTTTAGGGCACATATCCAGGTTGTAGGTCCAGTCCCTGGTCAGCCAGCAGTGTTGGGAGGCAACCAGTCAATGTTCCTTTCCCACATTAGTGCGTCTCTCTTCCTCTCTGTCTCTCCCCCTCCCTTTCTCTTTCTAAAATCAATAAAAACATATCCTCAAGTGAGGATTAAAAAAAAGAAAGAACTTTCTAAAAAAATTGAGTGTGTTGTTTAAGAGGCAGCATTTGGCAGTGAGTCCTTTTTGCACAATCAGTAATTCTGAGCACTGTCCTGATGGTTGCTGCAAATCCAGGCCCAGCTGCTGCCTCTTCTAACCCTTTGTTTCTTCAGTGTGATATAGGATCAGGGCCGTCCCTGGCTGACCCACCCGCCACCCTGACCCCACCCTTTGCCATCCTTCCTCTCCTCATGAAATTTCCCTGCCTGTCTTCCTGCTGTCAATGGCCTGATCTCGAAGGGCAAGTTATGCCTCTCCCTCTCCTCTTCTTGACCCCACACTCTGCTTGAATCTGGCTGTTTCCTTGGTCATTTGTGACTGTCACGGCAACAAGACATTTTCAGATTGTGATAAACACAGAGAGTCACGAGGCACTGTAGGAGTTATAAAGAGGGAGAGATTGCTATTTACATGATGGAGGAAGGGAAAATGAATTGTCACTGTCTTTTTAATCCAAATAAAAATTATTTTTAAATAAAGAGTATATCTAGGTTTGTCAATTATTTAGGATTGTTGATCACAAGTAATAGAAATTAGAGTGGTTTAAGCTAAAAAGGGGAATTTATTGTAGGATACAGAATCTCTAGGAGCCCAGAGGTTGGAAGCAGCCAGACCTCAGGTAGAGATAGAAGTGGAACAAAAAATAAGTCCAGAATCTGAGCAGCATTCTCTTTCTATGTCTTACCCTTGCTGTTTTTCTATATCTGCCTCATTCTTGTCTCTCTGTGGACTTCCTCTAGTCCAAAGAACCCACTGTGGTATGTGGCTACCAATGGCTGTTGAGTTTATACTTGGCAAGACTAACTATCTCCATCAAAATCACACAGTATATGATTGTCTAACCACTATGCTGTACACCTGAAACTAATACAAAATAATGTTGAATGCAAACTGTAATTGAAAAAAAATATTTAAAAAAAGAAAATCATAAATCCCCAGGGAAATATACTCAATTGGCCCACTGCAAGTCAGGTGCCCACCCCTGGTCCAATCACCTGCCACCCAATGGAGCAGGGTAATGTTGGTCAGTTATGGCTGCCAGGCACCCATCTCTGTTCAGGAAGAATAAGTAAAAAAGATAATTGTAAGCTGAGCAGACACTCAGAAAATGTCCACTGTACTTGGTTCTCTTGTCTGATAATGCCCTTGTGAAAGAATTCTGGGGTTTCCCACAAAATAGAACAAATTAAGAGGCTTCCTATCGTGGAGGTTCTTTTTCAGGAACAAATTCATAAATATGAATTACCATTTAGCAAACATCACCCTAATTAACTAAGATGATGTTCCAATGGTCTTTCTTAATGGGCTTTTTTAATGCTAAATATGTTCATCAAAGGCCTAGATTCCTGGCTTCAATCAGATGCTCACATACATCTAGATGGCCTGTGAGACCACAGCATGAAGGATGAAGCAGGTTGGGTGTTACCTCCACAAGGTCTTACATAGATGATACCCACACCTTCCCTTCATCCACCAGAGTCCTCGCCTCATTCGAATGAGCTAGTGTAACCAGGTCTGGGGAGACAGAATCCCCTCCCTTTGAGGGCTCCACAACCCAACAAATTCTGAGAGAGCTTGCTTTGGCCACTGCTTCCTTAATGTAGTTTGAGGTCAGGAGAGAGGGGACTAGGATAGAGCCTTGCCCACTCAGTGATCTATCAATCCAAGGCTAGTAAGGATAATCTAAAAAGTTCATTTAAATTAGAAGTGGGCAAGCTGGAGTCAGGTTGCCCAAGGCAGATTCAAAGCTGCGCTCACATCCATCCTTCCTGATGTTGGCCCTCTAGGCAGCACCATGTCCCCTGGGGCTGGGCCCCAGAATTGGCGGTACAGCCCCAGGCTGTGGTGAGTAGGAGTCAGGGCCCGGTTCTGAAGGATGACTTTGTAACTCTTCTCCTCCAAGTATGTTGCTTTCCGCCCACACTCTTTCAGTGATACCGCTCTGCTTGTCTTCCAGGCTCCCTGGGTACAGCTGGCCGAGTGTGCAACCTGACCTCTCGAGGCATGGACAGCTGTGAAGTCATGTGTTGTGGAAGAGGCTATGACACCTCCCGCATCACGCGGATGACCAAGTGTGAGTGTAAGTTCCACTGGTGCTGTGCAGTGCGTTGTCAGGATTGCCTGGAGGCCCTGGATGTGCACACGTGCAAGGCCCCTAAGAGCGTCGACTGGGCGGCTCCCACATGATGCCAAGGAGGTTGCCATCCACCTTTCCCTCCAAGGACTCTGTTGGATCTACAAGGACACTGGGCCTTTGGGTTCTCTTGGGAGGCATATGGCCTTTGTCCCAACATAAGCCTTTCCTCCCTCACTGGGGGCCCCAGGACTCGGGCCACATGCTGCATGTAAAGCTTGACCTAACCTCTTCACCTGCAGCTTTCTAGGGCACATCTCCTCCTGGTCATGATAGGCTGTTAGAGGGGGAGGGGTGTGGGCCCAGATCACTGTCTCCACCTACCTAGACAGTTCCTCTTTCCAGAGAAGTTGGCCGGGAGAGAAAGAGTGTCTCAAAGGAGCTTTCTCTATGTTTTCCACAAATGCTCAAGTTGAATTCCTATTCTGGATGGTAATGTAAAGAAGGCAGGACCAACTGCCACTGAATGAACTTCAATTTTTAAAAAGAGTAAGCAATCCCTGGCCAGTATGGCTCAGCAGTTAGAGTGTTGGCCCACAGTCCAAAGGGTTTGGGGATCAATTTCCAGTCAAGAGTAGGCACCTGGGTTGCAGGTGATCCAGGTCTGGTTGGGGTGATGTGGGAGGCAACCAATCAATGTGTCTCTCTCACATCGATGTTTCTCTCTTTCTCTCTCTCCCTCCCTTCCCCTCTCCATAAAAATCAATGGGAAAATATCCTTGGGTGAGGATTAACAACAACAAAAAGACCAAGCAAGGCTTTTGCCTGATCAAGTGATTTTTCACAGCTTCCAGGGGGTAATCGGTAATTACCTGGAGAAGGGTGACTTTCAACAAACTTTAGGTTTAAAATGCATATATTTCAAGGCATTTATTGCCATATTAAAATTGATGTGACATGGTGGGATTGTTGTCCTTTGGTACAGCAACAGCAAAAGCCTCAGAAAGTGATTGCTTTGCATTACTGCCCTCTCCATATAAAAAACTTTTAGGGAGTGAGACTTCTTTCTCACTTAGGATCTAAAAAATTTTTTAAAGAAAATTTGCAATCTGTCAGTATTCTATAACTATTGGGTGAAGATGGAGGAAAATAGCTTAGTGAATAGAGTATCAGAAAATTGTACAGATAAGGAAAAGGGGAAGGGATAAAATTCCTATCTGATACGAAGCATGTGACCTATGAAATTTTGTAACTAAAATGGCTGTGAGAATGGAAACTTTGGAATGACAAGAGCAGGAAACCAAAATGCTGACAGAGAGGTTTCCAGAGCTAAGTCATGCCTAGACAGCCTCCACCATAAACAGATGCTTAAAAGAAGTTGGCCACGTGTGCAGAGGAGTATCATCTAGTACCCATCACCCTTCAAATGCAATTTAAAGACCTGTCATATGTAATTGTGTTCATTTGATCCTTACAAGATAACACAATACCATAGCCTAAAGCAAATTATATGTAGACTTGCTTACAGGGTTGGTAAACCTAGTATATTATATTGCAAACAAATTGTAACTTGGAGACTATATTTAAGAGACCAAGCTATAATTATGGAAACATCAATATGCAAGTTGTGGTTGGTTTCTGCCATGAGCTAAAAGATGAAATCCAGGGGAAAGGGAGAGGCTGCCTGCCCCATGTTGTATATCACATGAAAAAATGGTGAAATATATGAAGCTATTTCTCATCCCCCTACAATTAGGTTCTTGTTCAAAATGTGATCTCTTCACAGAGTTGTGTTGACTAACAAGATGTTTCCTTATATTTATCTGATGTCAAATTATTAATACTTGCTCATTCTTTACTTCTTTGTCCTTTGGTTTCTCTGTCTTTCCTTCACAGCAGGACATGTAGATTGAGGCTTGTGGAAAACAACCTGCTGGAGTACTTTGTCATAAGTGATAGTTTCCTCCTAGCCCTCTTAAAAATGACAGCATTCATCTCTTTTCCTTCATTGCCAAACCCCAAATTAGTTGTCTTTTCCAAAGAGGTTCTTCCCTCCTTTTATCGTATGGATTCCGAAGGGGGAAGAGTGGAGTGTGACAGTAGTCTTCTGACTATTGTCCTCTGAGTCTGTGGGGCCTGTGGGAGTGGGAAGGCCCGGCAAGTGGGTTCAGTCTTAGTTACATTGCAGCTCGCTGTGAATGCCTTCCTCAGAGGACAAAAAGACTTCCATGGGATCCAAAGCCATTAGCCCTTCTTCTAACTGTGAAATAAAAAATCCAGGGATATATTTAGACATGGAAAGGGTCTTAGAGAACATTTCAGCTGCCCTCAGTTTATATCTGGGGAAACAGACCAAGAGAAGTGAAGGGATCTGTGCAAATATCAGCCATTACCCCAGTGCTCCTTCATAGGTAGGACCACACTCCAAGGGTATTCCAGAAAGTTAAGCACTTTCTCTATTAAATGAAGCTAGTTTATCCCAGGATCAACTCAGTAGATTCTAAATAATAATCCAAAGGCAACTTTCACTGTTTTTAAATTTCTGAGATATTTAGATCTTTCTTTTTATGCTAAAGTGTATTCTTACTGATAGGAGTGAGAAGACAAGGCATATCCACACAGAAACCTGCAGAAATTGTCCTGACTTGTAAGGGAGACTCTGGCAGCCTCTTCAAAGGGCAGTGGCTGTTGCCATTGTGGAGGGAATAAAAGTGAAGTATTTTTATCTGCTCTTACTTCTGAAAGAGGAAATCTCTATTATATATTTGAAAAAATTTAAGAAAAAAGGATGAAGATAATTTCAAATTCAATTTTGTTAGGGTTTAGTGAGAATTGATATTCCTTGATTCTAAAATGTACTAAACTCTTGGCTATCTGAAGCTTTTAAGGAAATGCATGGCATAAATTACCCAAAATAAAACGAGAGATTCTATTCAGATCAAATCCTCTTACAAGTTACCTCCCAGTAAAAAGTCTTATTATAAATTGAAGTTTTTTAGGCCCAAGATGATATCCATTAATTTTCTGCAACACCTGAAAAAGTTCCACAAAATAGATCCTAATTCACTGGAGTTGCCTTCTAACAAAAACAAAAAATCTGTACATGACTCTGAGACTTATCAAATGGGTTGTTTTCTTCAATAGTTTACCTTCCTAAACTAGTCTGTGGTGCAATCTGATCTGTCTGTCTTCTGTGAACACACTTGTCAAGGTACATTCTAGGTACAGCCTCCTCTACAGCCCCTCATGCTCTGAAAGCTTTGATACCTTAAGAGACCAGTTTACCTCCTCAAGTGCCTTAAACTCAAGCACAACAGCCCCCAATGCCATTACCACACTCAGCTTTGGCTCTGTACCCCTTGGAGGTGGGGGGCCTGTCATGTTGTTGGAAGACAGAAGATTCAGGATAGACGTGGGAGAGGCATGGGGAACCCCAGAACACTCACTATCTTATGCAACTGTCACCAGATTGAAATGAGCATCCTAGAAGGATCTATCACATGGCAATACAGTCTACATGGAGCCAGATGATGGGAAGGGTAGTTAGAGAGAAAGAGCTGGGTAGCTGTTGGTACATGATCGGCTGAGTTTGGTGAAGGCAGAGACTAGCTTTTCAGCTCCTGTTGGTAACCTCCACCTTTCCTTCTGCTGTTGCTTTCCTGTCCCTTCCCAGCACCTTCTTTGATGCTAAAGGTCTTAGGCCCTTGCCCAGATCCTCCATACTTACTTTGTAGCTCAGCTAGAGTCTATGTTAATTTAAAGAGATGTTTTCAATTGTCACAACCATATTCCTTTTTATTGGTGTTATTATGTAGCTTGAAAATATCAGGTCTCATATTTCTTTTTCAAAGAAAAGAGCCTTAAAATCAGAAAATCTACCTTCACATTGACATTTCTCAACCTTATTAACTTATAAAGGAATCTTACATCAACTCTATGAGACCTAAAGCATGGACTTTCTCTCTTCAGAAGCAGCCAACATGACTGTGCATGCACTTGAGCTTGATGACATTTTCAGGTCAGGATTTTGTTATTACTTCTCATTTATTAAAGGTTGGCCCAGGGCTGGTGTTGTCTCGCTCAGCTGAAGAACATTCATCTCCCCTCTTGCCCACTCTCAAAATAAAGGCTCAGAGAAGTATCCAATGGACCAAAACCATTCTTTTGTGTTTATTTACTGTACTTCAAGCTGGGTTTCCTTATCTTAAGAGCAAGAATTGTACTCTTAACAAACAGATCTCACCAATTCCAAAGCTGGTAAATTGCTTTTGTCAGGTCTGTGTTGACCTTCTGAAAAGCAATGCACTGGTGTAAGCTTACAGTTAAGGTGTGCTTATTCTGACCTTCTCCTTACCTAGGCAGAGAAAATTTTCAGTCATCCATGAGAATGTTCTTTACATTTTTCTGGGGATCAGCAAGATGACAGGTGGTTTGCAAAGCCTAACATGATCATTATTCTTCTAAATCATTGTTCCAGCTCTAGAGTTTTTCTCCCCTGATATTCACATGGATTCCTGTTTAAACAAACCTCCCACTTCCACAAGCTAATAAAAGTGTCACGCAGATTGTTACAAAGAACTATTGTTATTTACAAATCTACATTTTCTGTGAAATCAAAACATAATAAAGTAAATTTTCTGTGTTGACTTTGTTACTTTAAACTTGTGATGTCTTGCCAAAGCCTCTGGTGAAAAGAAATCCCTGCAGGTTATGGGAATTATTCCCTTTTCTTTCTCAGGACCACTCTTAACACAACTGGATCAAGAGATGTCTTTCAAGTTTGTAAAGATTTTCAGGGAAGACCATTGACTTATCTTACTGTTAACTACTCTAGTGAGTTAATGGGTAAGTCTTATATTCTAGATTGAATAATTATTCCAGGTTCCCACCCTGTGTTCCCCTGTGGTTACCATGTAAGGGCCTGTGCCCTCTTGGTGCCAGCATGCTTTGGCAGTGCTTATAAATTCAGTGTCTCTCCTAGGCCCACCCCCAATGACTTCTCTGAATCCTTGCTTTCCATGTATATGCTTGTTCTGGACTGAAATGATATTTTCAGGTTAATTAAAAACATGCAAAATCCCTCACTCCTTTACTGTGCATCCTGATAGTGTGT